ATATATATATATATATATATATATATATATATATTAATTCCAATGTATATAAAAGTTGTTCTTTTGTTAGTTTTGCATACATGTGTATATAATTTCAATATGTATGTATGGAACTAGCGGGGAGGATGGACGCAATTAATTGCGTGATTAAAGGTTGATTCCAAACGTAAAGGTTTAAGTGGGTCGAAAGTTCGGTGAACCTGTCGATTTTACAACTCATATTAATAGATGCAGCATGTTAAAATATTAGTTGTTTGCTGCATCAATGATGGTCGGTTTGAATAGATGATGATATTCATCACTAGCAAATGCACAATCATACATGCTTTAGCTAAAGTTTACTACAAGATCGATATTTTATTTGGAATCGAAAAATAAAATTGGCATTTAATTGGAAACGAATCGGAAAATCAATACCATTGTTTCATCGGATTCAGAAAACAAGTGTTCGTTTTGAAATTTTGTAATAGTTTAAATATTTCATTGGATAAATAAACAAATAAAATATTATGAGCTTGATAATGGGCCAAATAATATCATTGGGCCACTTATATTCGGTTGTATTAGCCCATTTTAAAGCCTGTTGTGAGATAAATGGGTTTCAAATCACGGTGTCGTTATTTGGATTTTGTATTGAAATGGTGAAAAAAAAAGTGAAAAACAAAGCAAAATGATTAAATGTTTTCATGTATTATATGCATGTGGTATGCGTCATGATGGTCTAAACATTCAATAATAATAATAATGATGATGGTGATGATGATGATGATGATGATGATGACTTCTTGGTGATTTATAATTGGATATCTCGATAGAAGAATCAAAGAGTGAGTTAGCACATGCAAATTCTTGAAAATTCTTCGAATTTGCCCCTAGATTTTTCGTTATTTACCTGAATTACTATCCTTTTGTGCTTGATTTATGTGTTCGGACGTAATGGTATTTATTTATGGTAATCCGTAATTTGTTTATTTCATTTGTATTTTATTAGGATTCAATTAATTCATTTTAAAAAAAAAATATGTGTGCGCGAATTTATTATTTATTAATCTTGTAAAGCAATCTTCGAATTTCCTGACAACCGATGATAACACCTCACACATGTTTGTCTCTTTCTCTAAAGTAACACTGCAGCTTTTATGATAAAACGTGAGATCTAAATTTGATATCAATATAATAAATATATATTTTTGGCGCCCTTTATAAAAGATAAAATAATTCTGCATATAAGCGAAAATAATATCCACCTATAATGAATGGCATTGGGTAAGTTTGATTTTCCAAAGACTTCTCGCGTTTTAGTTTTTCAAATTTATATTTTGTTGCTATTTTTGTTAGGGTACAAGAAAATATGATTAAAAGGTAATTTTGTATAATCTTTTTTCTTTTCAGAAATGAAAAGGAAAATTGGAAAGTGCTGTAAAAGATTCCTAAATCATTTACTTAACTTGAAAGATTGGATTAGTGGATGATTAGTGACATTATTATCTATTGTTTTGTTAATTAAGTAAGCATGTGATCATCATGTCTTTGCTTTCTCATTGGATGGACCAATCCCTTGTGAGGGAGATGTCTTTTACAATAACAAATAGCTTTTTTAAATACAAAATTACATAAAATTAATTGTACATATGGTTAGAGCCCTAAAACAAGGGTAAACCTGACATATTAAAAAAAAATTAGTTGCATATTTTCCTTTTGTTCTATTATCTATCTAAAGTCGGAAATATTATACAGATTAATACATATAGTATATGATGAATTAATATATTGTTTAGAAAACGAGATCTAACTATTTCTACTTTTTCATTTAGAATTTTTTTTATCTAATATCAATTATTAAATATAATTAATTTCCTACAAAAAGTTTCCTCGAATCTAATTTGGATTGTTCCCGAAAAAAGAATTACTTTGTTACATCATTTGACAAAGTTACTTTTCCCTAATATATAACACACCGAATTTGTTATCACCGGAAAATAACTAAAAAAGGAAAAAAATTATTTTCCCTTTAAACCTAATGGAATAAGTAAACCAAAATGAAAAACTGATATATAAATAGAATAAATATAGTTTTTATAAATAAAAAAAGTTGAACCCATAAATAATCCATCTATAACGTAGCCAAAACCAAAAACATCTATTTCTGTTCTTGGACATGAAATATATAATGAGATGATCTTTGGTCTAAATTTATACGTTCGAAAGTTTGTTGCGGTTTTCTTATTGCAGTGCGGATTTGGTCTAAAAAATATAGGTCAAAATTATATTTCTTTTTTTTTAATATATAAAATCTTTTAATTCGAAATAATTGAATAATCACTATGGCTCTAAATGTATACCACTACATTGGTGACATATTAATACGAAAAATAAATTTATGTGGAAAAGAAATTATTATATCTTGTTACAATATAAAGTTAATTTAAGATAAGAGCACTGTTAGATCTTATCATGTTAAAATCCCACTATAGCGGACATTCAATTTGCCCATCTTTGCCTTTTGTATGAAGAAAGTGACTATTGAAGAAACATTTCGTGTTTATTTTTTTTTTAAAGATATTGCCTTACAAGAATTATTTTTGATTTATAGAGTTGGCAATGTGTTGTAAAGAGACAGCCTATGTTTGGTCCAAATTGAAAACCCGTATGTTGCCTTTTCAAAGAATGTTTGGTAAAAGAAGCCATTACAAGACCCAATCCTAGAGGTTTATTTAACTTTGTAGCATAGGCGAACACAATTCCTATATTTAGCTATAAACACAATATATATATATATATATATATAATCATAAGAAGTTGATAAAATAAAAATATAACCCTAAACCCATAAAAAATGATTAAAAACATTAGCCAAAGACCACAAGTCTAAAAAAAAAGATTCAGACAGGCAAAGTAAAGTATTCCTATCCTCCATTGTTATTCCTTCCCTTGTCCCCATCTCACATCCATATCCTCTATATCTATGTCCTCGCTTCCTTGCATTGAAATTCTTACAATCTCTCTCTCTCTCTCTCTCTCTCTCTCTCTCTCTCTCTCTCTCTCTTCTTGGCAACACTTTTTAGCAGCTTAATTTGCCATGAAGTCAGCTATTGTTGTTATGTTTTTTCTTGCCTTTTTAGGTACCATTTTAATCCCAAAACCCATCTTCATGACAATTATATCCATTCTAATTCGTAGTTGTTTTCTTCTGCAGAATATGGACTAATGTCCCAAAGGGTCTCATGTTTTGGCATAAACTATGGTCAAGTCGGCGACAATCTGCCTCCTCCGGTCAATGTTCTTGAACTCTTGAGCTCGCTCGGGATATCGAAGACAAGAATCTACGACACAAACCCTCAAATCCTGTCTGCGTTCGCCAATTCCAACATCGAAATCATCGTTACAGTCGAAAACGATATGCTTCCAGTCTTGATCAACCCTCAGCAAGCGTTCCAGTGGGTGAATTCTCACATCAAACCCTACTTTCCCACCACAAAGATCAGAGGAATCGCTGTCGGGAATGAGATCTTCGCTGACGATGATTCAAGCCTCATAGGGTATAAATATGAATCATCTGGTCATTATTTATGTAACCCATTTAATGGGTTTTAACCAATCAGTTCTTGATTTAGGTATCTCGTGCCGGCGATGATGAGCATTCATGCGGCTCTTGTGCAATCGGGATTAGACCGATACATCCAAGTATCGACCCCAAATTCGTTATCGGTTCTTCAAGAATCATACCCTCCATCCGCAGGTTGCTTCAAGCCCGAAGTGGCGAGCGTAATGTCGCAGCTGCTAGGTTTCTTGCATAACACGAAATCTCCATTCTATATCAATGCTTACCCTTACTTCGCCTACAAAGACAACCCGAACAAAATCTCCTTAGACTACGTCATGTTCAACCCTAACACCGGAATGATCGACCCTTACACACGGCTTCACTACGATAACATGTTGTACGCGCAAGTAGATGCGGTGATCTTCGCCATTGCGAGGCTCGGATACGGAGGAATCGAGGTGAAAGTATCGGAAACCGGGTGGCCTTCGAGAGGGGATGAGGGGGAGATCGGAGCGAATCTGGGGAATGCCGCGATATATAACGGGAATCTGTTGAAGAGACAGATTGAGAATGAAGGGACGCCGTTAAGACCGAACATGAGACTTGAAGTATATCTGTTTGCATTGTTCAATGAAGATCTGAAACCTGGCCCGACTTCTGAGAGAAACTATGGGTTATATCAACCAGATGGAACCATGGCTTATAATGTCGGACTCATTGCTTCTTCTTCTTCTTCTTCAACAACAACTTCTTCGTCTCCATCTTCAACATCTTCCATTATTTCGCTTACTTCATCTGCTTCAATGGTACGTTAACATCATTAATATAATGGTGTTATAACTAATTAATTTTTAAAGATTAATTAATTAATCGGGATCAGTGGCTAATCTCTTTTTTTTTTTGGTAATTTAAACAGGCTGTAAAAAAGGGACATCAAAGATTTGTATATTGGACGCCGGTGTACTTGTTGATCCTTCATATGCTAACGAGAAGACAATATTAGATGCAAAAAAAAAATGAGGGCTTTTTTTTTTTGCAATGTAAATATACGGTCCATTGGTTTCTTAGTTTTTCCAAATACACAAATTAAATTTAATCAAGTGTCTGGTTATGATTCTTTGACAAAATTGTATTTATTTTATGCAAATGTTCTTAATTAGTTTAGATTCTCAATGTTTTATTATAAATATAGAGATATGTATGTGAAGAAAAAATGGGGATATATATATATATATGTATATTCCTTTTTTTCCAGTTTGGTGAAGAAAAATATATATATTTGGGAATAAAATCTCTTTGCATGAATTAAATATCTAGAATGTTTACAGTGAAAGCTCTCTCTTTTTTACTTTGGACGTGGAATTTAGGAAACCTCATGATCTCATATATTCAAGATTTTCTTTATATGTTAGCCTTTTTCCTCAACCATCAACTTAGGATAATATATTATAATTTGTAATCATATAATACAGATATTCATTTATATTATACGTATGTATGGATGTACATTTCTCAAATTCAAAGCATGTGTGGTTATCATGTTTCAGAATTTTTTTTTAAATAAATTGGCCCTATATCCAATATTATATTGATATCGGAAATTCTATTAGATTTAGATCCGCGTTCACCTACCCTCCGTATTGATTATTTTTTAAGAATAAATTATAGTAAAAAAGAAAAAGGGAAAAAAAACAGGCCCATAACAAAAAATAATTTTTTTTTGGTAATGATAACAAAAAAACATAATTTCCTATGGTTATAATCAACTACTTCAATTTGATTATTGTAAAAACTCATTTTTGGTTCACAATAAATAATATCAATTTGGTATATTTTACGACTATGTTGTGTGCAGTAGCTGATATTTATTTAAAAATCTAAACTTGAATGTTCGAGAATAATTAAAGAAAATATTTGTGGAAAAATTAATTAGCAAAATATGACACTATATATTATCAATAAAATTTAAAATTCTTACATTCCATTCACTTGCTAATGAATTCCTGATCAGCTCGATGCAAAATAATATAAATAAATTAGAATATTCGGATATTTTGTTTCTAAAAAAATTATTGATTTTTGAAGCAATATCAAAGAGATAACTTAATATTTCATAGAATCAATTGAAAACGACATCCGAGTATGATGATAAAATAGCAATTAGGAAATATTTTAAAAACAATCCAAATATTTACAACTTTTCCCTGCTTGAAAATTAGATACAGCAACAAATGGTATGACGTAGGAAACGCTGCGAAGTTTCGTATTCAAAGGCACTTATATATATTCTTTTTGTTTATAATAATTTTTCTTAAAGAAAAAAAAGGAATGTTTCTTTTTTTACAAGTAATATATATATATATATATATATATATATATATATATATTATAAACTTTTTTCATTGGCCATGCTGTGGAGGAGTCAGCAATGTTTGACAATTTAGTCATTTATTCTCCCGTCCCCTTTCCAAAGCAGCTTTCTATTTCACTTAGTTTTTTTTTTCTTTTTTCTTTTCTCTCTCAGTATATTCGATCTTGATTCTTAATACCATAACAAGCCATGTTACATTTTCACTTTTAAAAAATCCAATTTTTTATTTTTATTTGAAGAGCTTCACCAATCCTTGATTGGAATGTGACACCAAATATCTCAAATGCATATCCCTAATTAGTTTTCTTTAATCGACGAAAAAGATTTCGAATCTTGTAATCTAACATGTTTTTTTTAGGTAAAAAAAAACATGTTTTTTTTTTACCGGTCGATGTAAGTACTAATTATTACACATGGTAGTGCCCAAATGAGATCCAAAAATTTCGAATATTTGTGAATTTAATGTATCTCAAATTCCGGGTATTAGTTTATTGGTGACTATAAAAATCCGATCTTCGAATTCATACTATAGTTATTCGCATTTTCTCTCGATCTCTCCCGTTGTACCATATATAGTTATCCAAAATTTAGATATCCAATTCTTTTTCGAAATCAAAATCGATAATCTTACCGAAAAACCCGAACCTACAAAACCGAGATTTGATACACCAACAAATTAGGGTATATGGTACAATCATATTGAAGTTATACGGAGACGTCAAGCAACATGGTGGACATGGGAACCTTTTTGCCGATCGATACATGAGATCATTCCGTATAATCTTTTCTCACATTATTCATATTTTATTTTAAAATAATAATGAATAAATACTATACTTTTTTTTTGCTTTTTTGTCGGAAATGTTGTATATTTTGTGCGTAAGTTATGAAATAAAATATATGTCGTGAAACATGTATAATCTTTACACGTCCGCAACTAGAGTGAGTTTATCCTCTTTTGGGGCCCGAGAAATTGAAAGGGAGAAGAAACATTTGTCCATTTCTAATATTTTCCTCACATTATAAGCTCTAGTTTTTCATTATTTAATTTCTCACAATTTGAGTTTTCAGTTATATTTCCTAATTTTCCATTATTCTAGCTTTAAATAATTCATACACAAACTTATTTTTCCAAAAAAAAATGGTAGATGGATAAATTCCATTGCAGATGCTGATGTTCAATCAAATCTAAATATTTTTCCATATGAAACGATTAAAACATAAGAAAGTTATACACACACGTGTGTGTGTATCACATGTTTTTTAGACAAGGGAAAATCATGTGATTGGGCCGATATATTTGGTCTTTTATATAAATTTGGGCCGACCAGCCCATTATCAAAGGGTGACTCGACTTTGCCTTGCCGCATATAAATAGTCCACGAAATTCGAATTCTCTCTCTCTCTCACTAAATCTGTTGAAAATGGCGCTCTCCTTCGCTTTCAGAGAAAGACTGGATGAAATGGAAATCGCCAGAAACCAACGCCTCGTTCTTCTACAGGTAGAAAAATCGAATTAATCAGATCCTATTTTGCTTCGAGTTTCGTATCTCGATCATGATATCTTCCGCATATGTGATTTAATCATGCTCTCTGGTCGGTTGAATTCACTTTTTAAAATAAATTTCTCAGTACCCAATGGATTCTGGTTGTTTCCGAGGAAAATTGCTCGATTCAGCTTATTCCGGTTCGTAAACATTGTGTAGTTTTTAACTTTTAATCTCCATTTACGCAATTTGAATTTGATCCTACTTGATTTTCTCTGTATCCAAAAAGAATTCATGTTTGTCTCCCTCGAAAAACAAGGAAAATTCTGCCTGGGCTGTTGATATAGAGATATGAATATTCGTATATAAACTTAGAATTTATGGATTTAATCAGTAAACGACGATGCTGATTTTGTTTCTGTATGATGCCGAATTCCCCGTTTGATAGGCGGAGAAGGAGCTACAAGCGAGCAAATCTCAGATTCTAGCGTCGAAGCTGGCGAATATCCGATCCATGGAACACAGGTGTTTGATGCTCGACCATAAGATCGCCACGCAAAACTTGAAGATCTCAATCCTCAAATCTGAAATCGAAGATTCCGACGCCAAATATCAGATCATCGCACGGCAATTGCGGTTAAGCTCCTCTCATTGATATGAATTCTTGGCACGTATCTACTACTTATGTTTCCTTACCGATGATTAGCTAATTTCCTACTTGGGAATTCAGGAATCTGAAGAGCGAGATCGAGGAGCTGGAAGTGATGGGCAAAGAGAAGGAGAAGTTCTACGAAGCGAAACGCGTCGAGATGAGCGAGTTCAGGCGAAATATCGAAGAATTCAAATCAGAGATCCATGCACAAGTGCAGAATCTGAGGAACCGATCCGACGAGGTAAAAGCAATAGGCTTAGAGATTGAAGTGTACACAAAATTTTATTTTTATGTATATATTTATTTTTTCCTTGCAAGATATGTCAAAATATTACTATTTTGATTAAATTGATATTTGAAACATTAAAATATTATAAATTGATATCTCAAATATTAATATGTATTTCAGCTCAGAAATCAAGAACAATTTATAATATTGATTCGTTTTTTTATGTTGAAAATTAAGATCTAATTTATCTACCATCGAAATTAATTAAGAATTATTATCGATTTTATGGGTTGAGATATCTATTTATAATATTTTAACATTTGAGATATTAATTTAAAACGTTTAAATATTTGATATATCAATTAGATTAAATTAAAAGTTTAAATATTTTTTCGTATTTATATAGGATTTTTCTTTTATTTTTTTAAATGTAATTCTTTGTTCTAATTTTGTTTGCAGCTCAGGTCAACATTCGGGTCATTTTGAGGATGAAGGTGTGAATTCAGATCCAGAACAATCACGCCAAACGAAACAAACACTAATCAAAGGTATCATCTCTGTTGTTCCGTACGTCTTGGTATTGGGCCAATAGTTGATCAAAACGGGGTATTTCGAATATTATGTTCATCGTTAGTTGCTTGCTCTAATCTCTCACTATTAATATTCCATAATCTATACTTATACGTATGAGTATGCACAAATATTTTGTGGTAAGCTATGGTTCAACTTTATATACATAGAGATTACAGAATAGGATTATTACAAAAACACACATTTACCATGAAGCCCTGCAAAAATTTCCAAATCTAAATCCTCAATACTTTTTGGGCTTTTGTGGGGGATTGACTACTTAAACCTAGCCCAAGAAAAAAACAAATCTAGAAAGCCGAAAAAACGTTAATTTTTATATCTAATTAATTATTTAATTTTGGCAGAAAAAAATTTAAAATTACCTTCTAGCACATTCTACACGACTCGCCTCTTCATTTGTCTGTGTATATTTACTCGCAAGTCGCGACCTTCTCTCAGGTTCTTCCGTTACGCGAAATCGTCGGAGAGAAGAAGAGAGAGAATCCATGGCGGAGGAAGTGGCACTTGATTTGGACGAACTCAGGCATCTTCAGACCATCGCCAAGAGGCCTCGAGTTCTCAACCTCATCAACTCAGAGATTCGCAACTTGGAGAAGGTACCACCCCGTTCTTCCATTCTTCTCCCCCGTTTCGCCCTTTCTCGTTCCTGTCGAACATTGTTTTTCTCTGTTCCAGACGGTACTTAGCTATGTTTTCTTTATTAAGCTGAATTGTGTTTGGCGAGGTAAAACCAGGATTTGGGTTTGTGGACGGGGGAGAGTGAGATATCACATGTCTCAAAGTTTGGAAATGTTCCGTTCCTGTGAAGTAACTTCTCCGTTTCGGACATTCTTTTTGGTTGTTTTGTCATCTGTGGTGTTGAATCTTGCTTAAGCTGGATTGTGGTTGGCGAACTGAAACTAAGATTTAGCTTTGTGAGGATGTTCTATGTGTCGTAGTTTGGAAATTTCTCGTTTCTGTGGAATTTTTGCTCCACTTCTGACGGCATTTTTTGTTAGTGTCATTGGTAATGGTGTTTCTTTAGTTGAATGATTTGTTGTTTGGCGAATTAGAACTCGGATTTGCATTTGTGAATGGGGAAGGCATGGAGCTATTCAATGTGGTTGATTCTACGAACATTGAAATTACTCAAAAATCTTGTTCTCTCCCCTGTAACTATAATGTAATGTTATTTGCTCGTTACTTTACATTTCCTTGTATGTATATATTATACATTTGAATCTTCTGGCTCTCAAGTGGAGATGAATTCATAAGTTGGTTTATGTAAGAAACCCTTTCGGTGATTTCAAACTATGGTTTCAATCGTTTTGGCCTCATTGATTCTTTTTTGCTGACAATTTGACCTTTCTATCTTGTTCTGCAGATGAAAGATTCTGCCAGTGGTTCAATCACAGCAGCAGCAGCTCCTACACCGATGATTTCTTCTTTGGTTAAGCCTATAAACCCATCAGTGAACTATGTAGCACTTGCATCTTTTAGCTGGGATCAGGACAATGATAAAGTCAAGGTGAAAAAAATGGAATTTTCTATTCAAGAACAGCTCTCAATTCTTGATGGAATTTTAGCTTTCGAGTTTCGTCTCTTCCCATACAATCCAATGAGACTAGTACTGGTTTTTCATGGCTATGTCGTCGTTGTGACATGTTATTCAGATATACATATCTTTGGAGGGCGTTGATCAGGAAAAACTGCAGGCAGAGTTCAAGCCAATGTCTTTCGACGTGAAAATCCATGATGTGAAAGGGAAGAACTATCGGTGTGCCATCCCGAAGTTGCAGAAAGAGATCGTGCCCGAGAAATGCAAAGTTCTCGTAAAGCCTAACAGGGTCATCGTCACTTTGTTCAAGGCCTCTAAAGGAAACTGGCTCGACTTGCACTACAAAGACGATAAGGTAATACCTATGACCCGGGTCTGGTCAACAAGATTTGACCTTGAGACTGTAGTGAAGTTCTGTTTGGTGAAATTAATGGTTTTTCATTATGCAGCTGAAGCCGAGCATGGACAAAGAGAAGGATCCAATGGCTGGAATCATGGACTTAATGAAGGTAACCATTGCTTAACACTAGGTTTATCCATATGAAATTGTTTTGGCATTAGTTATAGAAAGAATTTTAAAGCATGTTTCACATAAAGAGTTCTTGGCCAACATAAAGATCCATCAGACAAAATCTGGTTAGATTTCATTTGCATTGACTGAAACGTGGTCCATGCGTAAAGATTCATCAGATTCTGCTAGTTACAGAGTGTGTTCTGACAATTCTTTCTTGTCGTGGTTGAAGAACATGTATGAGGAAGGGGATGAAGAGATGAAGCGGACAATCGCCAAGGCGTGGTCGGAGGCAAGATCCGGTAAAACATCCGATCCTCTAAAGGGACTGTAAGAAACTACCTCTAATACTAAACAGTAATGGGCAGTCCTCTTTTTGGTGATATTTCTAATTAGGGGCTTGAATCTTTTGTCTGAATTTGCTTGTGAACTTTACTCTCCTATGGAGAATCTATCAAACACTCTACGCAGATAGGAGCTTTTATTTCAAGGATTCGAATCAACAAAATGTCAAAAATATTCATAGGAATGAGAAAGAGAAAATCTTTGAACGAAACATGTTCTGGCTCCATATGGTAATGATTTGTAATAGTTTGTTTCCATGATGCTCACTGAAGGATCTGACTGCCATAATCCTCGTTGAACTTGTCGTAAAGGTGAGCGTGCAGATGAGCCGAGGGCCGAGTGTTCCTTAGAGCTGTTTCGATATCTTCCCGAAGGATCGGTCCCACCTTCGGTAACTCTGTTCCGGAAAACCACATTTGATATGGTAAAAAGTCGAGATTTGATCAAACGGGTAAAGCAAAAAAGTGTCGGAACGAAAGCTTTTTTACCGTCCTCGGGCATGAGCTCTTTGTCTTCCAGCATAGCCATTGTCCGTCTCAGCGGCTGCATTGCCGCTTCCTTACAGAGCACCCGAACGTCTGAACCCGAATAACCCTCCGATCTTTCCACCAGAAGATCGAACGGTAGAGATTCCTCCCTGCCGCCTGGTTCTTGCGCGGCCAAGAGCTCCTCGAACATGGCCATTCTTGCCTCTGGATCAGGCAGAGGTACAAGAATCTGAAGAATTTCATCGGTTGTAAGACCTCGAAAGAGAAATCGGGAAACAAAAAAAAGATGTTACATCTCGAAAAAGGGTGCTTACTCTCTTCTCGAGGCGTCGGAGCATAGCGGAATCGAGTTCCCAAGGGAGATTCGTCGCTGCCAAGACGAAAACGAGCTCATTCGATTTCGCCAATCCATCCATCTGACACGGTAACTCAAAATGATCAGTTTGTCTGGAAATAAACGAGAGGGGTTCGGACAAAGTAGAAATCATCAACCTGTATGAGCAGTTCGGTTTTGAGACGTCGGCTCGCCTCGTGTTCGCTCCGGCCTTCCCCGCCACGGTGACTTATGATCGCATCAATCTCGTCGAGAAATATCGTCGAGGGTGCGTGGTGCCTCGCTAGCTCGAACAGCACTTTTATCAACTTTTCCGAATCTCCTGAAAAACACCATTACCGTCGTTAGGACATAACTACCAAAAAAATCGGGTACCCGACCCTTTCATGAGACGATTTATGGATCATTTTTTCCGTTACACGCCTAACAGGTACAGATATGATTAATTAAAAATCGGTGATGGGTATTCGTAGAGATCGGATATAAATACGGATATCAATATCCAAATTCCACGGATATTCTGAATTTTTTTGAAAACCCGATCCGTATCATCACTAGTATTCAATGGTATCGAAAAGAAAGCATTTTTTTTTGTTTTTTTTTGTTGTCTCTACCAAAGGGAATCAATAAACATGGACGCACCTCTCCATTTGCTAACAACGGATGAGGCAGAGATGTTGAAGAACGTAGTGTTGCATTCTGTAGCGACAGCCTTTGCAAGCATTGTCTGTCAACCACAACCATGAAAGAAATTCAGACAAGATATCATTACAACTCATGATGTTTTGCTTGTGATATCATCCGGCATATAAAGTCGGTACCTATTTTCAGGCATACTTATCATATATACCGCGATTATATTGTACTCAAGAATGGATTTTGCGTACCTTTCCTGTACCGGGAGGGCCGAAGAGAAGGATTCCTTTCCACGGCGACAATAACCCCGTGAAGTATCTGTTATCAGACCACGAAAAGAAAAACATATTCCAGAACATTAGAAGCTTGAGATCTTTGTCCATGTCTCAGATTTCTCCCATATTGGGAAGAAAGGTCACTCCTTTGAGAAGAATTCAAAGGAACATACTTTGGATACTTAATAGGCATCACAACGGCTTCTTTCAGCAACCTTTTCGCGTTTCCGAGTCCCTTTATGCTTTCCCACTTGATGTTAGGACTCCCTCGGATAATATCCCTAAATCGATATTACAACCAAAACCCGAAACAGATCAAGAAGAATACGAAAATAGGAATGTCTCGGAAGAAAGAAACGTTTGATTTATGGGATTTTTACCTGCTCAAGCTCTCGGCCAGAGCTCGGGTTTCTGCAGAATCAAATGCAGGAAACATCGGTTTACGTCTGTAGAGATGAAAACACAGAGTTAAATTGAAGATTTTACCCATAACTCCATGCAATAAAACTCTTCAAATTTTTGGAAAAGGAAGACGATGAATAAGATCTTACGGCTTTTCACGAATTCCATTGGAAGCATTCGAGACCGCCGACCCTGTGTTCATGCCCTGCAATCATTACAGGCCATAGATGAAGGGTAAACCCGAAGCTACACACATAAGACACGACTATAGCAACTAGATTCGCTTGCCATTTTCTTACATAGAGACATTTTTCAAATCTTAGAACTCGATAGGGACAGACCCGAATTTCCAATTCGAATACGACTTTTACCTGCACCATGTTTGCTTCTTCATGCGAGTTGTTCGTCTGCTCATTAGTTCCGTTAGAGGCTGATCCATTAGTTGCTTCCCCGTTTGTCAATTCAGGCGCCTTCTTCCTCCCAAACTTGGTATCATAAAACGTTTTAAACTCCTAATGAATGCATAAATTACTTGACGAATTAAATAGAACCAAGTTCCAAGTTCATTGCTTTATCATCAGAAACCATTTGCCCACGACAAGATTTTCCATAAACAAGTTCCAAGCTCCATGCTTTAACATAAAATCCACTTGCCCACATCAAGAATTCCATTATTGAATTCCAAGATCATTGCTTTATCATCAGAAACCATTTGCCCGCAACAAGAATTTCCATAAACAAGTTCCAAGCTCCATGATTTGACATGAAATCCACTTGCCCACATCAAGAATTCCATTATAGAGTTCAATTTCATTGCTTTATCATCAGAGACCATTTGCCCACAACAGGATTTCTATAAACAAGTTCCAAGCTCCATGCTTTGACATAAAATCCACTTGCCCACCTCAAGAATTCCATTATAGAGTTCCAAGATCGTTGCTTTAACATCCGAATCCACTTGCCCACAACTTTAATTACATAAACAAGTCCCAAATCGTTGTTTTATACAAATGGAAACGGAGCGGTCCTTTTTTTTTTTTCTAAATTGAAGCAAATTCCTTGGTTTCTCCGGAGCATTAAAAAAATAATGATTCAGTGACAAAAAAAAGAATTAATGGTCCTTGTTTTTAAATCTGAACTATTTGTCGAAAGTTTTGACTTTCAATTCCCCCCAATTTTCTTGGAAAACAATCAATGCAACACAGATGAGTTTTTTTTTTGTCTTTCTGGCTGCATTTTCCTGGGAAACAAACAGAGACGTAAAGAAAGTGACAGCACATATGAATATGAATTACCAGAAAGCTCCAGCGAGTGAGAGAGGGTTCGTCGGCCGCCGCCATTGCTGATGGATCTCAGGCACGCCAAGAGAAGGAGACAGAAAATCTCTCTCTCTCTCTCTCTCTCTCTCTCTCTCTCTCTCTCTCTCTCTCAGGTGCGGTAGGAGAAGAGGGGAGTTGTGAAAACCTCACATACAAAGAATGTGAAGGCGCATGTGCTTCACAGTTGGAATTTGTTTTCTTTTTTTTTTCTCTCGTTTATTTGGGATCTTACTTACATGGAAAATATCATCCTTTAAATTTAATGACAGATTAATTAAAAACACACAAATTTTATTCTATATTTGAACTTTTTATAATTTTCCTAAAAACCAAGGACAAATAAATACCAAAACCTTATGTTTTGTTAAGTATGAAAACTTGGTTATTTAGATGAAAATATATATTTAGGTTAAAACTACAGTAAATCACAAATTGAAATCTAACGGTCTATTAGATTATATGTTTACCATTTTTTAATTGAATTTAAGCTTTGTCTTGTGGTTTATGGGGAAATTTTTTATATTTATTTATTTTTGAAAGGGAAGAATCCGAAAAAAATCATATGCTTTTTAAGCCAATAATTAATACATATACTTATTACCAAAATAAACCCAATACTCAATTGAAATAATTTTTATACTTTAAAAATCTTGACCAAAATGGCGATCCAATAAGTCTACTGCATCAGCCAACACGTTAGATTAAGTATTAAAAAATAATAAAATTAAAATACATATACATAGATTTATGCGTACATATCTACTTATACACATATGACTATACGTATACATACATACATACATATATATAACGGTTTAAACAGTATTATTTGAAGGAGTGTATTGGGAAAAAAAGTTTAAACTTTTTTATTTTAGTGATTCTCAAATTTTAAATATATAGTTAGAATAATGGTGCATTTGGATTATTTATGGACGGCATTAGAACAAGTGGCTGAATGTAGTATATGGAAACTTGGTTGGTGAGGTTGATTGCACTTCACAAGACTGTTAATAATAATAACAATAATAATGTAAAAGGAAAGGTTACTGTATAATTTAATTTTCAATCAAAGACCGTATACAACAGCCGTATTTAATTTCGTATACGTGCTTTGCACCATTTAACATTTGATTATGCCGACGAAATCCCAGCCTATATTACCCTTGTTTCCACGTAATTCACGTTTCTAAAATTATATATTACTCTCTCTCTCTCTCTCTCTCTCTCTCTGATCCAAAACACAAGGCAAGGACAGGTCACATAGGCCCATTAGCCCATGAGCAGTGAAAGCCCATTAGCCCAACTAAGCCTCAATTACATTCCCGGCGGCAGAGCCCTTCGTAGCCGCAGGCCCACTTAAATGAGTTCTTCGTGCATTTTGATGGACACATCTCCCACCATTTTTAAAATACTTGCTTTTTAATTTATTTATATCCGACGATATTAGATATCTAAGCGAATTATCGGGCATTCGGAGTGAATTCTATCGAATTCTAATTTTATTTATAAAAAAAAATACAATTAAATATAATTTCTTAATTTTTAATTAATATTAGAATAATAATGTAATTTTTAAATAAATATTAAAGATAATTTCATAATTTTAAATAAATGATAACTATTTTTGTAGTTTTGTCGGCTTGAAAATTTGAACTTAAGGATTTTATATGTGCATTTATCTGAATCTAATTTCCGTAATTCGAATATCCAATTCAGAATAATTTTTGGGATTGTTATAACCGAGGATTGGATAATTTTGCTCTAGAGAAAACGAAATAAGACAAACTTGCCCTTATTCCTTTGAATGTGAAATTTAAACCTTTGCAAGATAATAACATAATTATAATCTTTTCAGAATTTTTATTCAAATCTATTGACGGTGCGCATATCTTTTTCCTATGTGAATTTTGAACTTTTTTTCCTGATTAGTTCTCTTAAATTTTCTCTATATAACAAAAATAAATTGGCTATTTTTTTCCCAATTAAAAATCCATAAGCAATCGTACGGATAAGAGGGTACAAAAGTAGAAACATATGTGGGAAAACAAGATTATGAATAACGTAACAACTAACGACATGAATGGTCCTAAAAGGACGAACCAATGAGGAAAAAAACATAATTACAATGTTCATGTTCGTCCTATTTTCAGTATGTGTGTGTGTGTGTGTGTGTTTTCTCACATGATTTGACATTCGAGTCGAGGCATGTAATGTACAGATGACATCATGGGTATATGGATTTGAAATGCCATGGCCTACTTTCCTTTCTGTAATGAATTTTATTATCAATTCATAATCAATGATGTCGGTATTATTTCATCACAATTATTATTTTACATATAAACAATACATGGGTCTATGTGTCTCTATATGTTTATATATATGAACTGTGATATATATACAAATATAGATGTGTATATCGCTCATCAGTCGCATCACTCGTGCAAGGATAAGAACATTAACGAGCCCACCAACGGAAAAACAAATAAATAAAAGGCTACGTATGTGTGTTGTATTCTCGTAATGGATTTTACTCCTTTTATATATAATATGCGCAATTAATATTGGCGTTTTTATTTAAAAGGTGGACCATGTGGTTGCCAAAAAAAACATATGAAAAGTTTCATGTGAAATCAAATGAATGAGACTGCCTTATTGACAATATAAACTTATTTTATTCCGCGTATTATATATTTTAGTGAAACATCCTTTCACATAGTTGCTGACAACCGTTAGTCATTTAAAAACCGGCCATAATAAAGTAAGAATTAAAAATTATGAATATTATAATTTTTATTTTCTGAAAATTAGAAGTATGACCATTTGGTTACAAAACCTATAAATGAATTGGAACACACAAACAAAACATGAAACAAAGACCGAATCTTCGAAGAAGTTAACTTCGAATTACCCTCAAACTTTTGCAAAGAATGTCAAAAAGGTTTAGATATAAAAAAGATACATACTACAAGAATGTCAAAAAGGTACCTTTTTTTCCTCCTTTTAACATAAGAGAAAACATAGAAAAACATATACATATAAGTTAGGTAAAGGAGTGGATATATACATATATGTAATGTTATATCATATATATATATAAATATATATTAGCATTAAAATAAAATAAAAAAATTAAGCAGACACATTCATTCACACTATACCCATCAATGAAATATCACTCCTTATGAGCATACTATGTAATGAAGATATTCCCTAAATGCTTTCATTTAAAAAAAAAATCAGACAATTATTTTGACCCATTAATATCGTTAACATACAAACTTGTGTAAGCATATATAATGTCTTTTTTGCGCATAGTAATTCGTCTTAGAGAGCATTAAAAATGCACCTCTTTCATATTTTTTTTTTCAAAAACATGTTTACATTTGGTTTTAAAAATTATATTTTACACATTTTTCGTTAAAGTTTTTTTTTTTTAGAAAATAAAGACAGCAATCTAGAGGGACCCAGTGTGAGTTGGCTTTGGACCCATAGATGCCCTTATCGAAAAGCTGCGTACGTTCCATCAAATAACTAGTTGGAGTTCAAACCACATGGACCAACCTTTATAAAAAAAAAATGGCTTTATTTGTATTCATTTTTCATCGTTGGTTTATTCGCAATATTCATCACGAGATTTAACAAACTTTCGTGGAATATTTAGTTTTATATGATGCATTTATTAGAGATATCTACTCGAATTCCTAATCTTTCGAGTAAATGCATGCATGGTCAAAATCCGTCTTTTGACCTTCATGCAGTCAAAAAGCCGAAAATAAATATTAATCTATGAGTATTATTATATCTTTTATAGGAAATATTAGATTTTGGAGACAATGAGATAGAAACTTCTTGTGTTCATATTTATGCCATTTTGAAGAGAACCAGTGGTCTTCGAGGAATAGTGGTGATTTTATATTTTTTTAAAAATATATTTGCTCTTACGGTCGGTGAATACTCTAATACGTACAATACTAAATTATTACGTATTATACGACACAAAAGTACATCTATCATTGTTCTATGGAAGAATACGAAGTTATTATTCAAATTATTTAAGCACAGTCATGTATTATAACCTTTTTTATTTGAAATGAAGTTGATTAACCGTAACGTAAATACATAGTATTATAATAACGATTGATATAATAAAGGAATGCTTTGTACAAACAAAAAACACAAACCAGAGAGTCCGAAAGCGACGGGACGAATGCACGTTCGGTTGAACGGTCAGTGAATCCATACTTCCGAAAGTGATTATACACACACACACGCATATATATATATATATACATATATATATAGAGAGAGAGAGAGGGTGTAGGGATACATACATTACATAATTTACATCATAACAAAACTAATTATTATGACTTCGAAATTTAAATTTCGTCTCAATTTATTTTTAAAGTAATTAGAAAATACTCAATTTTAATTTGGCCATCTATCAACCTTTTTAAACGACCTTACATGTGATTAAGTCCGACAGAAATATTAGATACAAAGTTTGGACCTCGATTTAAAAAACGATGGATAGTGTAAAAAATATTACTGAATCTAATAACACCAAAACAAATGAGATATAGAGTATAGAAGAAATCATAATGTAAAAATAATAGATATATATATATATATAAAGAACAAATCAAATATAAATCAATATATATATATATATATATATAAAATTATAGTTGAATAATTCAAATATTAAATTCTATTATATTTGTAAAAGTACAAATATAATAGGTTTACGGGATTGTTTAACTCGATCCAACGCGTAAATTATTTCGAGCTCGATGATTTGGAATTTGGTTCGATCGACCTCATTTTTTTCAACAAATTTTAAAAAATTTAAATCAACTAGCCTGAAAATAAGCTAATTCCAAAATAATTCGTGAGTGGTTCTATTTATACCAAAAAGAGAAATCTTAGATATAAACATTAGATGCATTGTATATATAGGCATACTGGTGACATAATACAAAGCGAGATCATACATTGATTTGATACACACCAAAGCACAAACAAAGAGCAAAAATGAAAACATAGAGAGATTAAGAAAGAACAAAACTCCTATGTAGTAGTAATTTTATATGTAAAGGCAAAACAGAGACTGTGTAGAGAGTCAAACTCTAAGCAAACCCTAATGCTTTTTGCCCTAATGAAAACCCATTACTTATTTCTTTTTAATATTAAGGTTGGAATCAAACATATATAGCAAAGGGTCACCATCACCATGACTCATATTTGGACGACGGGTTTTTTCTCAAAGAGACTGAGTCTATAGTCACCGAGTCTAGTCTTGTAAGCGGAGAATTTGTACTGAGACCACGTGAACTCGTTGTAGAGACAGTCCTCTTGTTTGGGCACGAGACATTGCAAAGGTACGATCTTTTCCGCCAAAGGTGGCCCTCCGAAGTATATCATCGACACCCTCGACCTACTTGTGTCCGCCACCACCCTGTGTTTCACGCTTTTGAACCTCCCGTTAGTCATCACCTGCGACCATATATACATATAAACCTTATCTCATCATACACACACTTATACATTTCTTTTCATAAACGACTGAATTTCACATATTGTATAGTACTAGTGTTATTCAAATTTAGTATCCACGTTGGATTTCTCCATCCTTTTTACCCCAAAGAAAAGTATTATATTTTCTTTTCATTTTTTTCTCTATTTGCGCGTGAAAAGGAGAAAGGGATCATAAGTTGAAATTGGTCCACCAAGAAATCTTTTGAGGAATATATATATATACACACATAAGGGTCAAAAATTAGGACCAAAAGATTTTATTATATGCCCATCATGGAAATCTTTATGCCACGTGAGAATAAACATGCTCAATCTCAACTCTCATACTATAAAGGAAGCAGAGAATAAGATTTTTCTCCATGTGCGGATTTTGTCTGCCCTGAATTCATCATCTCAATCACTCCCTTAATTTACCCAATTTAGTAAAAAAAAAAAAAAAGGAGGACTGTTTCACATGAGTTGACTAGATATCGAAACATATCCAACAATATACAGATATATTTATGAATAGATTTTTAAAAAAAAAGAAAAAGAAAAAGAAAAGGGGGGGACCTGAAGGGCATCTCCGACATTGACGAAGAAAGAGGAGTGATCAGGAGGGACAGCGACCCATTTGCCGTCTTTCAGACAAATCTGAAGACCCTCCGTGTCGTTTGATCTCAGCACTGATATTATCTGTGGATCTGTGTGTTCTCCGAACCCTACCACCTCCCTCCGCCGTCCTTCCGCCTCCGCCTCCGCCTCTGCCGCCGGATAATGGTTCAGCCTCAGGCACGAGTCGCTCTTCTCGTCCTTGACGAGCTTGCTCAGCCTGTCACGCGGCTCCACCCCCAGCCCCTCCGCCATTTTTTCCAGCACCTGGAACGCAACTTCTTTCACCGCCGACATGTACTCCTCCATGGCAGCTCTGTTCCGACATGCAACACACAAACGTTTTACTCTTAGAAAAATACAGTGGATCTCTGGTTTCTTTTTTTGTTGTTTTCTTGTCCAGGGGAATTCAAAGTTTTGAGGGTAATGAGTAAAGACAGTATTCGTTTTCCAGTTTTCTGGGGAAAATCAGGGTGGGTTTTTCCCTGATTTTCCGAGAAAATGCGAGGGGAAAAACAGGGGAACCTCTGTTTGTTTGTTGCTTTTTCTCAAGAAAATCACGGGGGGTTTCCCAAGAAAATGCGGCGGATTAGGAGAACTGATCGTGATTCATTCGTATATGTCAGATCATTCATCTATACAGACCCGAGATTCAGGGAAACGAAGAAACAGAGTACGATCAAGAATTTTACCGGAAAATCCGAGGACTTTGACGGAAAACGGCATGGGTGTTGAGAGAGGTGACTTGGGAATTAGCATTGAGGAGAATATACTCAATCCACCCAACGTCACCGTTGGGTCCGATCCGTTTGCTACCGTACCCGAACGGGTCGGGTGGACCCTATCAGCACCTAACGTCTATGGCGCTCCCTGTATTCATACGACTCTGCTTTTGCATCTCATCCAAGTTCAATAACAGAGCACGTGTGAGGAATGGTTTTATACTCTGGTTTATTCATTCTTTAGATTATTTCCTTGGTTTAGTATTTTCCCGGTTTACTGGTTTTGTAGCTAGCACACACTTTTTGCCTTTTGTAGAATTTGTTAGAGGTTGTTGCACAGATTCTTTTGTATATATACGTGTAAAAGGATCAATGGAAAAATACAGAGAAAAGTTTTCTCAATCTCCCGTTTTCTGGGTCTTTTTCATCTCTCTGAAGAAACTTGCTCTCTGCAAGTTGTTATGGTATCAGAGCATTTTTTTTACTTCTTCTGCTATTTTCCATCGTTGATTCCTTCCTTTTCCTTCTTTGATCATGGAAGCTGAGGCCTCTTCGCCCCTTCCTCCTCTTTCTGATGTTGCGAATCACCCTCCCTTTTGAAGAAAACCGAAAAATACAAAAACAGTTCCACCGGTGAAGAGGTAACACGATATCTCTTTCTATTTCATTTTACTTTGAGTTCCTGTTCTGTTTTGATCTTTCTATTTACAAAACCTTGAGAAAAAACAAAATAAAGAAGTTAGAATGTCGGGAGAAGGAGAGCCCAGCCACAATGCGCTTGCACAAATTCTGCAAGACATAAAAAGGTAAATCTGAAAAAAAACGAATTGAAATGATAGAAGGAACACCTTACCTCACGTTGGTCCTTGAACCGGGCTCTGATACCAAAAATGATACACACTCGGGCTTAAGAACACACGATCGATGGTGATTCTTGATTGTGAAGGGTGGATAGGTTTCAGAAGTTAGTCTCTGGCTCTAAGGCACTCGATCTTTGCTTCTAAACCAAAAGATGACGTGAATGGACTAAGGAATTGATAGGGAAATCCTTGGACAGACCAAGAGATGCTCGGACACACCAAGCAAGGAGATTAGCGAAATTGGACACACCAAAAGCTAAAGAAAACAATGCAGAAATTTTCTTATTCAAGTCTGATCTCTTCAGCTCGAAATTTCAAGAAATAAATAGCAAAAGAGAAGCAAAAACAAAAGGAAATTCGTGCCTAAACAGCAGCAAGGCAACGGCTAGGAAATCTGCAAAGAAAAGGAAAATTGACAAAGATAGCAAAATGGAAATGTCTAGAAATTGTGTAAAAAGGAAAAGGAAAGATGCAACAGCTTCTTGGTAAGGAAATGTCTTCAATTTAGCTCCAAATTTCGTCCAAAAGTGATCTTCAAGAGAGTCAACTCCATTCTGATCATATGGTTTTAAAAATTATATTTTACACATTTTTCGTTAAAGTTTTTTTTTTTTAGAAAATAAAGACAGCAATCTAGAGGGACCCAGTGTGAGTTGGCTTTGGACCCATAGATGCCCTTATCGAAAAGCTGCGTACGTTCCATCAAATAACTAGTTGGAGTTCAAACCACATGGACCAACCTTTATAAAAAAAAAATGGCTTTATTTGTATTCATTTTTCATCGTTGGTTTATTCGCAATATTCATCACGAGATTTAACAAACTTTCGTGGAATATTTAGTTTTATATGATGCATTTATTAGAGATATCTACTCGAATTCCTAATCTTTCGAGTAAATGCATGCATGGTCAAAATCCGTCTTTTGACCTTCATGCAGTCAAAAAGCCGAAAATAAATATTAATCTATGAGTATTATTATATCTTTTATAGGAAATATTAGATTTTGGAGACAATGAGATAGAAACTTCTTGTGTTCATATTTATGCCATTTTGAAGAGAACCAGTGGTCTTCGAGGAATAGTGGTGATTTTATATTTTTTTAAAAATATATTTGCTCTTACGGTCGGTGAATACTCTAATACGTACAATACTAAATTATTACGTATTATACGACACAAAAGTACATCTATCATTGTTCTATGGAAGAATACGAAGTTATTATTCAAATTATTTAAGCACAGTCATGTATTATAACCTTTTTTATTTGAAATGAAGTTGATTAACCGTAACGTAAATACATAGTATTATAATAACGATTGATATAATAAAGGAATGCTTTGTACAAACAAAAAACACAAACCAGAGAGTCCGAAAGCGACGGGACGAATGCACGTTCGGTTGAACGGTCAGTGAATCCATACTTCCGAAAGTGATTATACACACACACACGCATATATATATATATATACATATATATATAGAGAGAGAGAGAGGGTGTAGGGATACATACATTACATAATTTACATCATAACAAAACTAATTATTATGACTTCGAAATTTAAATTTCGTCTCAATTTATTTTTAAAGTAATTAGAAAATACTCAATTTTAATTTGGCCATCTATCAACCTTTTTAAACGACCTTACATGTGATTAAGTCCGACAGAAATATTAGATACAAAGTTTGGACCTCGATTTAAAAAACGATGGATAGTGTAAAAAATATTACTGAATCTAATAACACCAAAACAAATGAGATATAGAGTATAGAAGAAATCATAATGTAAAAATAATAGATATATATATATATATAAAGAACAAATCAAATATAAATCAATATATATATATATATATATATAAAATTATAGTTGAATAATTCAAATATTAAATTCTATTATATTTGTAAAAGTACAAATATAATAGGTTTACGGGATTGTTTAACTCGATCCAACGCGTAAATTATTTCGAGCTCGATGATTTGGAATTTGGTTCGATCGACCTCATTTTTTTCAACAAATTTTAAAAAATTTAAATCAACTAGCCTGAAAATAAGCTAATTCCAAAATAATTCGTGAGTGGTTCTATTTATACCAAAAAGAGAAATCTTAGATATAAACATTAGATGCATTGTATATATAGGCATACTGGTGACATAATACAAAGCGAGATCATACATTGATTTGATACACACCAAAGCACAAACAAAGAGCAAAAATGAAAACATAGAGAGATTAAGAAAGAACAAAACTCCTATGTAGTAGTAATTTTATATGTAAAGGCAAAACAGAGACTGTGTAGAGAGTCAAACTCTAAGCAAACCCTAATGCTTTTTGCCCTAATGAAAACCCATTACTTATTTCTTTTTAATATTAAGGTTGGAATCAAACATATATAGCAAAGGGTCACCATCACCATGACTCATATTTGGACGACGGGTTTTTTCTCAAAGAGACTGAGTCTATAGTCACCGAGTCTAGTCTTGTAAGCGGAGAATTTGTACTGAGACCACGTGAACTCGTTGTAGAGACAGTCCTCTTGTTTGGGCACGAGACATTGCAAAGGTACGATCTTTTCCGCCAAAGGTGGCCCTCCGAAGTATATCATCGACACCCTCGACCTACTTGTGTCCGCCACCACCCTGTGTTTCACGCTTTTGAACCTCCCGTTAGTCATCACCTGCGACCATATATACATATAAACCTTATCTCATCATACACACACTTATACATTTCTTTTCATAAACGACTGAATTTCACATATTGTATAGTACTAGTGTTATTCAAATTTAGTATCCACGTTGGATTTCTCCATCCTTTTTACCCCAAAGAAAAGTATTATATTTTCTTTTCATTTTTTTCTCTATTTGCGCGTGAAAAGGAGAAAGGGATCATAAGTTGAAATTGGTCCACCAAGAAATCTTTTGAGGAATATATATATATACACACATAAGGGTCAAAAATTAGGACCAAAAGATTTTATTATATGCCCATCATGGAAATCTTTATGCCACGTGAGAATAAACATGCTCAATCTCAACTCTCATACTATAAAGGAAGCAGAGAATAAGATTTTTCTCCATGTGCGGATTTTGTCTGCCCTGAATTCATCATCTCAATCACTCCCTTAATTTACCCAATTTAGTAAAAAAAAAAAAAAAGGAGGACTGTTTCACATGAGTTGACTAGATATCGAAACATATCCAACAATATACAGATATATTTATGAATAGATTTTTAAAAAAAAAGAAAAAGAAAAAGAAAAGGGGGGGACCTGAAGGGCATCTCCGACATTGACGAAGAAAGAGGAGTGATCAGGAGGGACAGCGACCCATTTGCCGTCTTTCAGACAAATCTGAAGACCCTCCGTGTCGTTTGATCTCAGCACTGATATTATCTGTGGATCTGTGTGTTCTCCGAACCCTACCACCTCCCTCCGCCGTCCTTCCGCCTCCGCCTCCGCCTCTGCCGCCGGATAATGGTTCAGCCTCAGGCACGAGTCGCTCTTCTCGTCCTTGACGAGCTTGCTCAGCCTGTCACGCGGCTCCACCCCCAGCCCCTCCGCCATTTTTTCCAGCACCTGGAACGCAACTTCTTTCACCGCCGACATGTACTCCTCCATGGCAGCTCTGTTCCGACATGCAACACACAAACGTTTTACTCTTAGAAAAATACAGTGGATCTCTGGTTTCTTTTTTTGTTGTTTTCTTGTCCAGGGGAATTCAAAGTTTTGAGGGTAATGAGTAAAGACAGTATTCGTTTTCCAGTTTTCTGGGGAAAATCAGGGTGGGTTTTTCCCTGATTTTCCGAGAAAATGCGAGGGGAAAAACAGGGGAACCTCTGTTTGTTTGTTGCTTTTTCTCAAGAAAATCACGGGGGGTTTCCCAAGAAAATGCGGCGGATTAGGAGAACTGATCGTGATTCATTCGTATATGTCAGATCATTCATCTATACAGACCCGAGATTCAGGGAAACGAAGAAACAGAGTACGATCAAGAATTTTACCGGAAAATCCGAGGACTTTGACGGAAAACGGCATGGGTGTTGAGAGAGGTGACTTGGGAATTAGCATTGAGGAGAATATACTCAATCCACCCAACGTCACCGTTGGGTCCGATCCGTTTGCTACCGTACCCGAACGGGTCGGGTGGACCCTATCAGCACCTAACGTCTATGGCGCTCCCTGTATTCATACGACTCTGCTTTTGCATCTCATCCAAGTTCAATAACAGAGCACGTGTGAGGAATGGTTTTATACTCTGGTTTATTCATTCTTTAGATTATTTCCTTGGTTTAGTATTTTCCCGGTTTACTGGTTTTGTAGCTAGCACACACTTTTTGCCTTTTGTAGAATTTGTTAGAGGTTGTTGCACAGATTCTTTTGTATATATACGTGTAAAAGGATCAATGGAAAAATACAGAGAAAAGTTTTCTCAATCTCCCGTTTTCTGGGTCTTTTTCATCTCTCTGAAGAAACTTGCTCTCTGCAAGTTGTTAGACCCGCTTTTTCCTTCAGAGACTGAGGTAGAGCAAAGAATCTGACCGCTTCGTGCTCCAACCGGGTCATGAGTTCGGGTCGAACCCCATGGTTCACCACCTTGAAGAACCCGGATTCCTCACACGCTTCCACGATCCGGGTCTTAGCTTCCGGGTCGGTTAGGTCCACCACGGGAATTCGATCCTTAACCGGATCCGGTTTGCATGTCGGTATTACAGAGACATGGTTGTCCAACGCCACTGGCTGCGACAATACCACCATGGTTTGGTTTCTCAGTTCAGAAGCAGAAGCTCGATGAGATAATACGCGAGCGGGTATGCGAATATATGAGAGAATATATATGTATATATGTGTGTATATGTGGAGGGATTTTTATGTTGTGTTTTAGGAACTATGGAGAGAAGCCTGGCGAAGAGAGTGTGTCTGCTTGGCATTTATAGAGGTCACGGAAAAAAAAAAACTTTTTTTCCCTTTTTTTAATAGTTTTTGGGAGATATTTTTTAATTTATTTGTTAACGTTAGTCTTTTTTTTTCTTGTACTAAGCAGAAACCGAAATACAGCGTGGAATTTTGTTTTATTTTATTTTGAATTTTTAGGGTTCTGAAATCGAAGCTGTCCTTGTGGGCTAGGAAAGGTTGAAAACTATTGGTAATTTGGTATGGTCCCTTTTATGCCCTCATCATTATTTGACAAATCGGGTTTCATAGTTTTTTCTCAGATTATTTAAATTATGAAAACAATATTAAGCTCGGATTTATTTTAATGTCTAAAGATACGAACAATTTTGCAACTCAATAAAAATATATTGTAATGTAAAAAAAATGAGATAATCTTCCTTTACGTTTTGTTAGAATTTGTTATTTTTTTTATTATTCTCGAGTGTCAATTTACATGCACAGTTAAAAAAAAATTGCATAGAGCAACAGAAGTCTTTGTTTCGAAAAATTCGAATCGGTCCGAATCCAAAATCCTCGGACCGAGTGTGGGTTCGGTTTGGGTCGGTCCCACACTCGGTCCGTTTGAGACCGAGAGCGAAAGTTTCTTTCCATGGGACCACGATCATACCGTTTTTTTACCATATCCTCTGAATGTATTGGAGCAAATGAAACAGAAACGTAAGACTTTTACACGATTTTCACGTGACTTACCAATAGCATATCCGTATCCAAATCCAAAAAAAAAAAAAAAAAAAAAAAAAAAAAAGGCAGCCTATATTAAAATTTCTTCGGTCTTATCATCGTATCCATGATGAGCAGTAGTAATATATAACTTTGTCGTGATTTTTCAAATTATATAAATGAAATCATTGTATTATAATTATGAATCATTATTATCATAATAATCCACGGTCTTCCATTTGGAAAGGAATGCAAAGATTAAGAGGACCGTTTTTTTGGGCTTAAGGTAGGGGTCGCATGGATTAGAAATCCAAAATTTTTAGGATATTTCAATGCGAATCTCGAGATATTTGAATTATATTATCTGCGATTTAATTTTTAAAAATATCTATAAATATCCGAATCCGACGAATTTTAAATATATTTTGATTAAAACTAAAAAATTTATATATTACATACAAGTAATTTATAAATTTATTGAAAAATATTTATAACCCAAATAATTAGATTATACAAAATGAGTTTTATATAAATAACGATAAAAACAATTAAATATTGATAGATATTTTTATAGTTTTTTAATAAATAAAAAATATAATGAATATTTTTTTTTACTATTCGAGTATTTGATGATAATTATTCGATCCAAAAATACAAATCCGAATCCAAATCCTAATTTTAGATTTTAAAAATATTAAAATTTGATCTCTATCTCGTTGCAAGACGATTTTGAAAATGGAATACTTGATCTCTAGATCGAGAAGAATATTCGAAATATCAGATATTTTTATACCTTAATCAAGTTTCTGTCTTATTATTGTTCTTAGATTATCTATGTAAAAAATATTTTTATGCAATTACATCTTTATATTATAACTATAATTATAATAAATTAAAATCACTTATTTCTGAATTCATACAATTACTTTTGAAATGCATCACTATTGATAGGACAATTATATCTCTAAGCATAGATTCCGTTAAGACATCTAGAAATAGGGAATAGGTCTGCTTTTTCCTTATTTACAGGTTAGGTTTATATATTTGGTGGAATCCTAATTTCCCTCACGTTCACATATTTTAATATATTTTTTTACATCCTTATCCTAACTCTGTTCTATTTCAGATCATCGTCCACCAAATAATTGGTGAGCCAAGTTTCACAGTCACTGGAACATAATAAGAATGCCTTTTATATTGTTCTCAATTCACAAATCTAGTCATGTGCTTACTACAAATCTACAACCGTTAACCTATCTTTACCCATATTGACATATGCGTATTATATATCTATATATATATATATATATATATATATAAATTCCGCGTTTTTATGTTGATCATATACTATGTAATAAAATTATAAGTTACCCTTTTTTATATTGATCATATATTGTGTAACTCGTTTATTGGGTGGGACTATACCCTGATTTGGCTTTTGACAATTTTATTCAGGAAAAAGCATATAATTAAAAAAAACATGAAGTTTACATATAAATGCTAATTTTAGTGTGTATGTATATATATATGTGCAGAATTTTTTAAAGGTGCAATTATTGACATTGGGCCGTCCTTACCATATTTGGAAAAGTGATATTCCTCGTCATTTCGTGACAATTAAGGTTATTTAAGACGGCATTTGTTAATTGTTTCTCTGCCTTTTATTTTTATAAAAACTTTATGGAAAACGTTTGCATTATTAAATCGGCCATAAAGAATGTTGTATTACATTTCAAGTTTAACTTATATTTTGTTCAATATAATTTATATAATACAAAATCATTATGTACTTGAACATTTACATTCCCATGTTTACTCATATTTTGTTTTCTCTAAAATCATATCAATATAATTAAGTAAAATAAAAACAATAGATGCTAATCAATAAATTACGGTTAACAACTCCAACATAAATCAAATTATGTAATGAAAAATATTTGTTAGTTTGTTTAATGATAGTTCTAACTTTAACTATATTTTTCACTATTCTTCATAGTTACTTTCTCTATAGTTCTTTAATTTCCACTACGGAAAACTTGTAAAAATGTGAAAAAAAAAATATTATAATCATAATTCCATAGATTAAATGTGCACGCAATAGATGAACTGAGCATTTAGTCCACATCTAATAAGCCCGCTAATGCTTGAACAATAGAGTCGCATGCTTTATTTATTTTTTATGCTTTTTTTTTCAATGATGCGATTTAAAGTCGTTTTACATTGAAATTTGTCTAATATATTATTTGGCCTGAATTTAATATTAATCCCACCATATTTCTTCAAGACTTGTTCGGAAAGTAAAATTAAATGCGATTTCCAACTATGGATTTTTACACATAATGCGTGCATCCTATGCTCAGCATCCACATATCCAAAATGCAGTAATTATGGGTTTTTTTTCTTCATAAAAAAATGACGTTTCATATTAATTAATTTCGCAATAATTATAAGAATATATGATTTTGTTAGCCATATATGTTTTCTTACAAACAGAAATTTTTACAAAAGTACTTGCGACATACAAAAGAATTGAACTTCTAAAAATGTGGGTTGGATTAAAATTTTGGATATGAACCAACCCAAGTGTCTGAAATTATAAAATATATTTTATACGCCGACTAAAAAAAATAATTAGAACAAGTTTGGTTTAGATCCGCTCGCTAACTCAAACCCATTGAAAAATTGAAATTTTAATAAGAATAAATATGATAATGATTTTTGACAAGATCCGTAATAAAATGAATATTTAGATGTATTATTTATTTATTCACCGTGATAGGAGAATGATCGCATTATCGATGTCAATTATGTTATTCAATTTCATCTCTGTAAATTATGCACTATTATAATTATCTCTCCCCAATTAATCGGGATTTTGCATTTTTTCTTTCAAATTATGCTGCATATATATTTTTTTAATGGAATATTGCCAAGGTACAAACATTTTATAAGAATTTAAAATTGCAAAAATAAAAGAAGAAGAGGGAAATAATGTAAAAAAGATTGATGGATATGGGGTTTTTAGTGGGCATAAGCAAAGTTTAAATCGATATCGACATCTTCCTCTCTTTAGTGCTTTTGTGAATGTCCCTCTCAACTCGTCGTAATCAAAATTATTTAAATTAAATAAATAATTATTTGAAAGCTTGTTTTTCGTCTAGAATGAAGTTTCAATCTTATAGTTCTCTCGATCTCTATATACTTCAATAATTGCATTACATCTAACCCTATAATTGCGTTACATAAGCGTAATTGCAAAATCAAATTATCACATGCTTAAATGTTTTATACATGCCCGTGGAAAAATATACATATTGAAATTATGGATAATTTATGTAGCAATATAGTTAATTACATATTGTAAAATATCGACAATTATCATTTGTTGAATGTATGATTTTTGAGGGTTTTGGCATATTCGTAAACGTAGTTCTTAACGCGTCCACTGTTTTATTTTTTTACCAAAAGTCTTTTTCGACGAAATATTCCTTTGAATTCAATGGTTATGAAAGTGTCCCACATGATAGAAACTAAACATGTGGAAAGTGGAACATACGTACGCAATACCGGACCATTTGCCACCATTATTATATATATATATATATAACATTGCATTAAAAAAACAATATATGTACATATAAACAGATACAATTCATGACCGTTCAACGAATGTTCTCTATTTAAGTGTACATTTTCTTTTTACCATTATGAATATATATTAGTTTTGCACCGATCTGATCCATGATAAAATTAGGAAACATAACTGATTTTTAAAATAGGAAAATAAGGACCTTGCTACTTGGACAATGTGGGCATAAGCCTAATTAATTTAATGAAATTAAACATAAAAAATTATCAATCTCAGTTTATGAAACAGAAAAAACATTACTTTAGTAATGTATATTATTGTTTTCTCACACTTTTGATATTTTGGGAATCTATCGGAGTATAATAATGTCTCGTTCCGATGTTCGTGTAAGTGTCCCGTACCTTTGGAACTTGCCATTTGGCGACTGAAACGTGAAGAAAAAAGAAACAGGTCAAATCTGACAACCTTTTTTTAGGGTTTTGACCATTATTACATATTCAAATATCAATAATTTATTCTTTTTGCTGGACACCACCCAAGTTCAAGTTGGACCTCACTATCAATGCTAAAGAGATCGGTTTATATTTAGTTCGGTTCGATTTCGTTTTATATTTGGTTATCGAAATTGAGTCGAAATATTACTAATGTTCATTTGTAGCGCAAGGGTTGAAAGTTTGTAGGTTTTAGATT